GTATCAGACAGCCTGGGCGCAACTCAGGTGGGCTCCCCATGGGGTGAAGAGACCCCCCACAGATGGCCAGGACTCCTCCTGTCTTCAGCACTGGGGTGGGCTCTGCCTAAGGATGATTGACTGAGGGGAGCAGGTGGCCCGGAGGGGAGGGGAGATTAGGGTCCCAGTTGTGCCAAGTGCTGCAAAGTCCCTGCCCCAACCAGCTCACAGTCTAAATAGACACAATTCTATCATCTCCATTTTATACATGGGGAAACTGAGGCCCAGAAAGATGCAGTGACCTGTCTGATCACACAAGGCAGCTGTGCCAGAGCCATGGAGAGAACCCAAGAATCCTGGCTCCCAGCCCTGTGCTTGGACCACCAAAACTGCTCAGATCTCCCTGCCTTTCACCATTATGTCTCCATCAATCCTTCAGGCCTGTGCTTGAACATCAGAAACTGTCCACCCCTGGGAGAATATACATCCCCTGCACATCCAGGGGTCACTCCCCTTAGAGCAGGGGGCTGGGAGACGGTCAGAAAAGATTTTGTTGTATTAAGTCTCTTAATACAACAATAAGATCCCAAATTTTCAAGAGCCAGGGATAGAACCCAGGAGTCCTGGCTCCCAGCCTCCACCAGCCATTCACATCCTCAGCACCTGGGTAATTAGGCCTGCAGAGGAGCAAAGGATCTTACTCTGGCCTATATCTACTGCAATCACCCGTGCACCCCTGGCCGGTCATTGCTTTGACATGCAGGGCCCCGGGACGTTGACCGAACTACTCACACTGTAGGGTGACTGCAAAGCATTGTGGGTAGGGTAGTCCCCTGCCAATTGGCTGGAAATGGTGCAAGTCTAAGGTGTGGAAGACGAAGGAGGGAAAGAGAGATTCTAACTACAAACGAGCCAGCGACCGCTGGAGGGGAAAGGCCCCATGTCCCCTCCCCCACACATCCCAAAACAATCTTGGACAGTAACTTTTAGCTAAAACCCTCCATCATGGAATTCATGAGCCAGCTTCTAGTGACTTGAATTCGGGTCACTCCAGATTCACACCAGGATCACTGAGATCAGGATCCAGCCCTATATTTTCCCACCCCTTCACCCCTCTAAGCCATCGCCTACATTTAAAAAAAAAAACCCAGCCCCTGCTTTTTCTTTGAAATTTATTTCCTTAAATCTAAAAATCCAGCCCAGTCTGACCTAAAGAAAAACAAACCCGAAATAAAACCTTCATTTGTCTTCTCCACGATTAAAAAAAGGCAATTGTTCCAACTTAAATAAAATATTACAAAATAGAGACTTTAAAAATAACATCAGTATCAGCCAGCCAACAGGGGAAACGACCATCAGTGCGATTGTCCCATTATCCTAAGTAGAAAATCGAAGGTCTCTCTCCACTCTGCTAAGCGAGATGCTATCAAAGAAAATTCAATACAGACCCAAGCAGATCTCAGCTGGATACTACCAAATCCACATGGGGCTGTAGGAAACACGTGTAACAAACAGGAAGGTTAATTCAGTCGGTGTAACAGCACCGTGACGGTCCCATCTGTATTTCTTTACCATCACTGGAGCCCGGTGGGGCTCAGGAGATCATAGACTATCAGGGTTAGAAGGGACCTCAGGAGGTCATCTAGCCCAACCCCCTGCTCAAAGCAGGACCAATCCCCAATTTTTGCCCTAGACCCCTAAATGGGCCCCCCACAACCCTGGGTTTAGCAGGCCAATGCTCAAACCACTAAGCTTTGGAGCTTACACAGAGCTGTGCGTGGAAAGCTTCTCTCCGTCATCCACAGAAGCTGGGCCAATAAAAGATATTATCTCACCCACCTCGTCTCTCTCCCTCTCGCGGATTTCACACTTTGTCCCTCACACTGAGCTCTTGTGAGTTTTGTCACTCGTGAAGAACCTCTGGTGCAGGCCCTGCTATTCCAAGCCGCTCTGTCACATCCGTCCCCTAGTATCATCCACTTGCCAACCAATTCCCGTGTTTGCTCTCAGGACGCGGCTCCAGAACCTCCCTCCTCGGACAGTTAGCAAGCTCATTTCCAGCCTCCGTTTATCCAGCCCCGGTTGTTCTTGTGCCACCGTTGTCCTTTGGCATCCACAGCTCTGCTCTCTTTGCATCCCCGGTGTCTGCCCCCCAGATGCATTCATAGAGAGCCATCAGATCCCTTCTCTCGGCCTGCGTTTTAGACTAAGCCCAGGTCTGTCAGTCTCCTCACAAGATCGGCTCTCTGTTGCCCTGTGCAGCCTGGCAGCCCCTCTCTGCACCTGAATTCCTCTTTCTCAAACCTGGGTAACCAGACTTGGACACCGTATCGCAGGTGTGGTCTTCCCAGTGCCTTGTCCGATGGCACTAATGCTTCCTGATTGTGACCGGATAGACCTCACCTGCTCCATCCTAGGATGGCATTTGCAAGTCTTGAAGGGAGAGAGGGAGATTTTTGCCCAACTCCCCTCAGAGAGCTGGGGCTAGAACCCAGGAGTCCTGGCTCCAAGCCCTACCCTACTCTCTTGGACCCTGGGATAGAACCCAGGAGTCCTGATTCCCAGCCCCTCCTGCTCTAACCCACTAGACCCCACTCCCCACCCAGAGATGGGGATAGAACAGAATCCAGGCTAGAATCAGACCGGGGTCCCCCGGGGGGAAGGAAGGGGGGAATCTAATTTCATTCACCGAATTCCTGCCAACTAGTTATGCCATTAATTCTAACTACCTACATACACACAATGTTCTCCATCAGCCGAAACCAATTTAACCCAGTTGCAGCGATGGTTTGTCAGTGAAAAACCCTTGTGGTGAGGGGAAAAGGGTTTGCCACGGACAGGCGTTCAGGAGCGGTCCGGTTCAGAAGTAACCTGCAGCCTTTGTGGCTTTAGCTAGAGAACATTTAGAAATTTAGATCAGGCTCGGAAGATGGAGTCCTGACTCCCGGACCCACCCCCAGCTTCTGGCCCACTAGACCAGAGTCAGAGACAGAACCCAGGAGTCCTGATTCCTAGACCAGGGCATTAATCACAGGCCCATGCCTTGTTGGCATGAAGTCAATTTTGTCCACCTCACCATTACTATGGTTTGATCACTGATAGAAAAATCTTTATATCACACACACACACGCTATCCCAGCCACTAAGAAGTAGTGGGGACACATACACACATACCCCCCATACTCCCTGCTTCCCATGCAGTATCCTAGCACCCCTGGAGGGGCTCAGGGCACAGGCCCCCCCATCAGTGTCCTGTCTCCAATGGTGGCTGATCTCTGATGCTTCAGAGGAAGAGGGGGAGACAATCCCAGATACCGCAGGACAGCTGTGCAATGGGGTGGATAGGGGGTGAATTCCTTCCTGACCCCTACAGGTGACTGGCTGAAACCCTGAAGCATGAACCCCAAACCCTTGTCACCCAGGGATCACCCTTAGCATCGGGGCTCTGTAAAGAGGGGAGGGGACCCTCCAATTTCTTAACCCCCCCAGCACCTGGGCTTGCAGTTCAGAGGAGAGATGGGTGCGGGGGTGGGGGTGAGCCAAAGGGGGCCAATGTGGGGGTTGGGATTCTGCTGTTCCAAGGGACCCCATAGCCAGAGCGACCCATAGCACTAGAAAGGTTTGTGCATGGGACAGCAAAAGCCAATAGTCAGGGCTAGATCCCCAGCTGGGGGTCTGGCCCATTGACCCCAGTGGAGCTACGGCCGAGTGACCCCAGCTGGGGGTCTGGCCCCATTGACCCCACTGGAGTGACGGCCGAGTGACCCCAGCTGGGGGTCTGGCCCATTGACCCCAATGGAGCTATGGCCGAGTGACCCCAGCTGGGGATCTCACTTTCAGAATCACTCCTCCACCCTCTTCCTAGGCAGTCCCCACCAGGCCCCCCTGAGCTGTCTGATGCCCTTTGCATTCAAAGAGTTCCTGGCTTTGCAAATAAAGATCTTGCCAGGGAATCAGTTACTAGTTCCCCATGACCTCTACTCCTGTCACCCCCGCAGAGAGAGACCCCATGGGTTCTAGCTCTGGCTCTGGGCCAGGGTACCTGGGTTCCATACCCCACTACCTGTGATGTTGGGCAAATCCTTCCAAATTGCTGGGCCTCAGTTTCCCCCACTGTAAAACAGAGAATGACCCGTTTTGTCGGCTCCCAGCACTGTCTCTGTTCAAGACCTGGCACCGCAGAAGCCAGGATCTCGGTTGGGGTGGAGGGGTCTGCGCAGCAGTTGGCATGATGGGGGCCTAGACCTTAGTCAGGGGGATCCATGCAGCATCTGGCACAACCGGGGGTGCTTGAGGGAGGCTGTGTAGACCTATCCCGTTACAAACACAGGCTAAAAAGTTTCTAATTTAGAAAGTCAAACCCACCGATGCTTCCAGGCAAGGATCCCACAAACAATCAGGCCTCTGCTTAACTTTAAGCTCCCCTCGAACGCCACTCAAGCACATTGTAAACTGTAGAAAGGGAAATACGGCCCAGGGCAGGTGTAAATCATGAGGCTTGCACAGAGCCCCAGCTCCAGGAGTCCATGGGATTAACACATAAGAACCTGAGCTTTAACAAAGTGTGGTGCTGGCTCTCAACCTTGGGGCAAAACAATGACCCCCCAAGGCACATAAAGAGGATCCCCGCCTTCACTGTTTTGTTTTTTCTTAAATAAAAAAAAAAACTCGTGATTTTTAAACAGGCAGAGATTGCTACAGGTGTGTTTATATAGGTACAACGGGGAGGTCTAATGGTTGGAGCACTCTACCGACACAGATGTGGATTCTATTCCCAGTTCCGCCAGTGGCCTGCTGGGACATGTCAGCCTCAGTTTACCCTTCTGCAAAATGGGGATAATACCACCGACCTCCTCCGCAAAGTGAGTTGGGAGCACTAGGTATTATTACACTGGTACAAAGGTCGCCCACGGAACTAAACCAAAACGCTTCCACCATCGCACGGAGACAAAGGTCCGGCAGCTTTCAGGAGCCCCCGGGGTTCATACTCTACATAACAACAAATCACAATCCGGCCGGAGTTGGGTCGAGTTTTTTCTCGGTGAGATTTTTAGTTAATTAATAAAAAACAAAACATCTTAAATACAACGCATTTCCCTATGCCACCCCCGCCTGCACACAAAAGTCTAACCAACATTTTCTTCTTATACAAACTTTATCCCCGAATTTCACTAATGATCGGCTGGAAATAAAAGTCCAACGCACTCGATAGCAACTTGAGCCGTAGACCCACCTCTGCGCTCAGAGGCCAGAAGACTTTTTAAAGGGAAAACTCCCCTTCCCCACTAGATCAGATAAACTTAGCTAAGGAGAGCTAGCTAGACTGAGGTCCCTGTGTCCTAAACCTCTCATCCCCTCTACAGAAATATTTTTAGTAGCCGCTCTGATCAAGCAATGGTCAAAGAATAGTAAGGGTTCCGGTTAAGAGGGGCTGTTTGTCCAGCTACAACAGCTACCCCAGTTTTAGGTCTACACACAAATTTTGTCCTGGTATTACTATGGCAGTCCGGGGGCGATTTCTTCCCTGATATAGTTCCAAGAGGACAATCAAGCATGGAGCCAGTTACACTGGTATAAATATGTCTTATATTGGTATAGCTTAATGCCCTTCCTGTATGAGAATAGCTACACTGGGAGAAGCATCTTTATGTCAGTACAACTTCATCCAGGCTGGGGCCACTCCTGTTTTAACTACATCAGGTGAAAACTTTTCATCTGTACGGGTTTTTTTGGTGGAAAACTGGGGTTTTAGAAAAAAGGATCAGTGTTCTCCAGAAATTTTCAATTTGTTGTCAAAAAAAAAGTGGCTGGAAATTGAAATATTGCCATTTGGAGAGAGCCAGCACCGCCTCATGGGAGGCATAGGTCCATTACCTCCTGTCCCTGTTCTCCTCACTGGGTCAGGCTGCTCAGTCAGACTACCTTTCCCATGATGCACTGCTTCCCCTCTCCCAGACAGGAGAGGTATAGCTCAGGTGTTTCATGCTCTCGTTTGCTTCTGGAGGCCCCGTTCCATGAGTGGCTGACATCTCCCATGATGCACCATGTTCTCCCATCTTGGAGAGAGATGTTCCATCACGGGAGATATAATCCAACTAGCGAGTGCAGCGTGCCAGGAGAATGGAGAGCATGAAGTAACCAAACTTCAATTCCCATGATACACTGCAGCAACTCAAGAGGCATGCCATGGTGCATCATGGGAAATATAGACTGACCAGGAAGCCCAGCCTATGAAAGGAAGATGAGGCATTTGAACTACACCTCCCAGAAGGCACTGCAGAAGCATTTCTAAATCAAAACTATTCAGATTTCAGCTTTTACAAAAAAAATAGAACTTCTGCCAAAAAAATTGAATTTTCAGCAGAAAATTAACCCCCTCAGCCCTCAGGAAAAATGAAAAACAGACAAATTTAGCTTCCTTCTAAAATTTTAAACAGGGATGGAATATAAAAATTATTTTTTGTGTTTAGACAAGACCCTAAGAAACTTAATGCCACCTTTGTAAGACCTGCCTTGCAATGAGAAATCTCAGCTAGGGTCCAGAGAGCAAATATCGTTGCTATCGTGTGGGCTGGGCCGTATTTCAAAACGAAAAACAAAAGAGAGAGAGAGAGAACGAGCGCGTGCGTGAGCACAGGAAGCCTAGATGCTTGTTTATAAAACAAGCACCAGGGCTTTGCCGAATTTATAAGCGTATCACAGATCACACAGATGCATGGGGGCATCAAACTAGCCCTCTCTTGAGGCAGACGGTTGGGAGGAAAAAATGAATGAGAATCCCAGGGCCAGCTGGTGAGTGGGTGGAAAGGCTCAATAAAGGGCTAGCGGGGGCAGTACTTGGTCTCCACTTCTTGTTAAAGGCTGGGGGTAAAGGACACCCGTTTTTATCATTGACGGCAGAAGTTTTGAAAGACGTCTGAGGTTCAGAGGCCCAAATCCAGGCTCGGTTCTCCTAGGAAGCAACAACATTTTAAAATAATCACCAGGAAACAATCTGTGTCTCGTTCTATAGGGTGGAAACTGCTTTCCACGCACCACCACCAGCACACGAGGGGGCAGAAGTGAGTCTACCGCATGCTGCCTGGCCATTATTTCTATACCTATGGCACCAAGAAGCCCAGTTGTGCACCAGGACCACCGTGCAAGGTGCTGTACAGATACAGATCAATCAAGCGAGCTACTTAAAAAGCTTTACTCCACCAGGAGGGAGGTAGCTAAAGAGCTGGGGAAACTGAGTCAGAGCAGTCTCCAGTCGGGGTCTAAGATTAGTCTGTGGCGAAGCTAGGATAGAACCCAGAGATCAGCGCTGCAGGGAGCTCAAACTTAGCTCCAAAGCGAAAGTCACTTACAAATAACAGAGCTGAATGTAAGGGGGCAGGAAACCCCCAGATTTATTGGTTTTTATTCGACACAGAAGAGCCACCAAATTACAGCTGGGGGAAGAATAAGCGATAGCCATTTCAATATGAACACGGTTCCAGGAGAGGAGCAGGGACTAATGATTAGAGCGGGGGATGGACAGGGGCTAGGAGTCAGGACTCCCGGGTTCTAGCCCCAGCTCTGGGAGGGGAGTCGAACGGGTTAAAGTGGAGGCAGCTGGGAGTTTGGTTTTGTAGTTGGAGTGGGGGAATAGAATCTTCTTTTAAAACCGTTCCACGTACCGAGACAAATACAGGAAAAATTTAAGTGTTGGAGTTTCTAAAAGAGAAGACTGCTTTGTGTGAGAGATCTGAGTACCATCAGGATTTCTGCAATACACTTACATATTCTGCACCATAGAACAATAAAAAATATTCATACATCTTGGATCAGTAGCACAATAATAACGATTTCTGGGAGGTATAACTATATTTTATCCCAACCTATGAAGGAGGAAATTTTTCTACGATGACAATTCAATACCTCAGTTGAAAACACCCCAACATTTCTCTCTCTTGAAAGCCTGGTCATTTTTTTTTATTTCCTCCCCCCCATAAAAGGAGTCTTTAAGCAAATTGTTTCAAAGGAATTTTGAAAGCAAATGTGTGTTGTTCACAAACGAAAAGTTGGTTTAAAATTCAGATTTGATTCTTCTCAGGAAAAAAAAAAAAAAAAACAGTTTAAAATTTGTATTCTCCTTAAACGGAAACTTAGTTCTCTTTCAAAAACAAGACAAGTTTGTTTGTTTTGGGAGGAAAATTGTTATAATTAAGACAATTTGCTCTCAGTACAAAAAGTGTGTCTTCTTATTAGTTTCTTTCTTTCTTTTTTTTTTTAAAAAAGGGGTTTTTTGTTTTTTTAAGACCAACTTTTGTTGATTGAGGAGGAAATTTTAAAAAAATAAATAAATCTCTCCCTCTTCCAAAAAAACACAACCAAAAGTCTCAGACAAAAGGTGTCTATTTAAAAAAAAATTAAATTACAGATATTTTAAATTAAAGATATTTGGACTTTTTGCAGGGGACATCTTGGCCAATTTTTTTTGGGGGGGGGGGGGGGGGGAGGAAAAAAAATTAGACTGTTTTTTTCCACGTGTGTCAATTTTTAGGGGCAAATTTTTTTTTTTCCCCACACGAAAGCAATTTTTAAAATGTCCTCCTTCTTCTCCAATAACAGACACCATTTAAAAAGGAGCTGGGAATTGGTCAAAACAAACCAGAAAATTAAATTCTACAGACGTCGAAAAACCAAACCAAACCAAAATAAAACCATGGCACCAATGTTTTGTGTTGTTTTTTTTTTTTAAACCACAACGTTCAGGCTCCTGTGCAGGAGATCACTGGAGCGTCATCTGAACGAATTTCAGTGGAATCCGTTGAGAATTACAGCCAAGCTGATTGAAAACTTGATTGAAATCAATTGGATTTAAGCACGTGCTTAGAGTTAAGCGGGTGCTTAAGATCTCTCCTGAATTGGGGGCCAAAACAAGGTAAAATAGGGTTAAGGGAAAAGTTCTCAGAGGCACAAAAAGGCAGCAGAGAATCAAACCAACACCGCTTCCCCTCACCCATCCATTGGAGAACTGGGATCCACCCCAAAACCTCCCTCACTAATTGGTCCATGCCACCCACAAACTGCCTCCCCCGCAACTGGGCGCCTCTCCTGCCCGTCCCCGTTTGTGCCTCTGAAAATTCCTCCCCTCCCTAACGATTTGGTGCTAGGATAATGATCGACATTGACTCCCCCGCCTCCATCTCTCCATCCCCTCTCATCCCCCCCACCCACACATTCGCACGACCCTCAGCTAACTTGCCCCATGGTGACAGTGGCATTGCCATCCACCCCTGTGTCCTGGCAGGGGCCTGCCTCAGGTCCCTGGGCCCCTCCTGTGGCAGCGTGGCCGGCTTTGGCGCGGCCGGCCTGGCCGTGGCAGGCCTTGGCGTGGCTGGCTAAGCGGCTGGAAGTCCGGAAGGCCTGGCCGCAGTCCGGGCAGCAGCGGCCTTTCTTGTCCGAGTGGGTGCGGAGGTGGTAGGTAAGGGCCAAGAGGTTGTGGAACTCCTTGAGGCAGGCGGGGCAGTGGTAGAGACCGGTGGTGTGGACCTTCTTGTGGTGGAGGAGGCTGCCAGCGTGGCGGTACGTCCGCTCGCAACGGTCGCACTTGTAGGGGCGCTGGTCCACCAGGCCATTGGTGCCAGGAGCGGCCCCAGCCTCTGCCTCCGCCTGGTGCCGCCACAGGTGTTGGACCAAGTCCCGAGAGGCCCGGTAGGCCTTGCCGCACTCCGAGCACTCGAAACGCTTCTTAGTGTGGACCCGGCCGTGGTTCTTGAGGGCTGATGGGGTGGGAAATTGCTTGGGGCAGACCGGGCACTGGAAAGGGCCAAGGGGCGCCGAACTGACGCCCACTGGGGTTTGGGTGCCCGTGTCAACATGGTCGCCTGAGGCGCCAATTGAGGCGCTGCCCACATGGCTGCCTGAGGTACTGCCAACATGGCGGCTATCACCATGGCCGCCTGAGGCGCCACCAACAACATGGCCACCTGAGGCGCCAACTGAGGCACTGCCCACATGGCTGCTGTCAACATGAGGGCCTGAGGTACCACTAACATGGCCACCTGAGGTAGTGCCAAGATGGCCACCGTCCCCGTGGCCACCTGAGGCGTCAACATGGCTGCCGCCCTGCTCCCTCCGGGCGGCCCGCCATTCTCGTGCCGTCTTGCTCCGGACAAGGGTGCTGCCCTCTAGTAGGGGGCGGGCGGGGGAGCTCCTGCTGCCGGGACGAGGCCAGCGCTGGGCATGGATCAGCTGGTGCCTCACCAGCTGCCTCTGCCATTTGAAGGCTTTGCCGCAGTCGGGGCAGCGGTGGCGCTTGACCTCGAAGTGGATGCGCTGGTGGTTCTTGAGGGCCATGAGGTTAGGGTAGGCCCGGGGGCAGACGGGGCAGCAGTAATGACCCGTCTTGTGGCTCTTGCGGTGGTTGAGAAGGCTGCCGGCATGGCGGTAGGTCCGCCCACATTGCTCACACCGGTACGGCCGCTCCTCGGGGTCCTTCTTGGGGGCCCTGGGCGGCTCCGAGACCCTGCCACCGTCGGCGTGGGCCTTGCCTGCTCTCTTGGCGTGAGCCAACTTCCTGGAGGACGAGGAGGGCAGTGGCGGTCTCCTCTCGCGGTGGACACGCTGGTGGCTGGCCAGCTGCTTCTGAAGGCGGAAGGCCTTGGGGCACTGGGTGCACCTGTAGCGCTTGGTCTCGAAGTGGATGCGGTTGTGGTTCTTCAAGGCCATGAGGTTGTAGAACAGCTTCTGGCAGATGGCGCAGCGGAAGAGGCCCGTCTTGTGGGTCTGCTTGTGGTTGATCAGGCTGCCCGCGTGCTTGTAGCTTCGGCCACACTGCTCGCAGCAGAAGGGGCGCTCCGACGTGGCGCCTTCCTCCCCGCTGCCACCCTCCTCATCTTCCTCTTTGGCAGCACGGACCAGCTCTTCCTCCTCCTCCGGGTGCTGGGTGGCACAGTGTGCCTCCAGCCCCGCCGCGCCCTTGCACAGCTCCCCACAGACATCACACACGTGCAGCTTGCCCTCCTCGGCATCGCTGCCACCTGGGTCCCGTTTTCCGGGAGCTGGGGCCGCGGCTGCCTCTCCTCCCTCCCTGCCGTGCGGGAGCACCGGCTCCTTCCCTGCACTGTTCCCATTGCCGGCCGGCCGGCTGTCATTCAGCTTACACTTGGGGTGATTACGGAGATGGTTGCGGTAGGCGGACAGGTTGGGGTACTGCCGAGAGCAGACGCCACACTGGTAATCTCCCACCTGGTGGGTCTTCTTGTGGTTGACCAGGCTGCCACCGTGCCGGTAAGTTTTCCCGCACTGCCCACAGGCATAGGGACGGCTGTCTGGGGGCGTCACACCGGTTTTCTGCTCCTCCGGCAGCTCCAGACGCGGTCCCAGCCGCAGCTGGATGGTGGTGTCAGCCAACGCCGCTTCCTTCTCCTCCCGGTGGCCCAGGCTGTGCTCTTCGAGGCTTGCCATGTCGTCGAACGTCTGCCCACAGTAGCCACAGATGTGGGAGAGGAGCATTTCTTCCTCCCCATCGCGCTCATCTGGCCGCTCCTCCCCCTCCTGCTGGAGCCCGGGGAAAGCCGCAGCCTCGTCAGCCTCCAAGCTGCCTTCCTGTGGCTCCCCATCCCCGCCGTGAGCCAGGCCGTGGTGGCGCTGCAGGTCCGTCTCACCTGGGAAGATCATGCCGCAGAGGCTGCAAAGGAAGGGACGTTCCTCGGCACTGGCACCCGGCTGCTGGGCCGTGGCATGGCCGCGGAAGTGGCTCTTCAGTGCCTCCAGGTCTGAGTATTCCTTTGGGCACAGGGAGCACTGGTATATGCCCAGCTGCTGGCTGTTCTTGTGGTCGAGGATTTCGCCTGGGTAGGGCTCAGGAGTTGGGGCTGCCGGGTGGTGACGCTTCGGCCTCCTCCTCCTCTTTCAGGTGTTGCCACCCGTTCACCGCACTGCCTCCCCGCAGATTGTAGCTCCGCTGGGGCTCCTCCTCGCTCAGCGCCCCCTCCTCTCCAACCCGGGTACTCTCCGGGCCACCATGCCCAACATCTCCACTTCCCTCCGGCTGCATCGTCCCATCAGGGGCATCTCTGGGCTCCGCCTCTGCCACGCCCCCTTCCTCTTCCTCCTCCGGCCCCACTCGGCCCCTCCTCGGCTTCTGGTGGCCACGTAAGTGGCTCTTGAAGGCAGCCACGTTGGAGAAGCGTTTGGCACAGAGCGAGCACTCAAAATCCCCCGTCTGGTGCGTCTGTTTGTGGTTGATCAGGCTGCCCGAGTGGCGGTAGGACTTGCCGCAGAGCTCGCAACTGTACACCCGTCTGCCTGGCGGCTCCGCCTCGCCTTCTCCCGTGCAAGGCTCCCCATCGCCATGCACCAGGGCGTGGCTCTGCAAACTGGCCAGGTCGTGAAAGGTCATCCCGCAGCAGCCACAGATGTGAGACATCCCTGGCCCAGGACCCACCGCCTCCAACTCCTCCACATCTCGCTTGATGGCCTGCAGCAGGGCTGCCTCCTGCGTGCGGATGCTGCCTGGTTCCTCCTCCTCCTTCCCCTCCTTGGGGCAGGGGGCGGTGTCCCCGGGCGCGTGGCGCAGCTGGTGCCACTGGAATTCTGCCTCCCCCTCAAAGCTCTCTCCACAGCTGGCACATGGGTAGTTCCCCCGCTCCTTGCCCCGCGACGCTCGAAAATGCATGCGGACGTGGTTGCGTAGGGCCATCAGGTTGGAGTACTGCTTCGGGCACAGGGAGCACTGGTAGACGCCTGTCCGGTGGGTGTGCCGGTGGTTGACCAGGCTGCCCCGGTGCCGGTAGGTCCGGCCGCACTCCCCGCAGCGGTAAGGCCGCTCCTCTGATGCCCCATCCTCTTCCTCCTCCATGCAACCAGCCTCCTCCTCTTTGAGAGCACCTCCTCCATCCGCTTCCCCGCGGCCTGGCAGCTCTGTGGCCCTCTCCCCGCCGGCTGGCTCAGCGGGGCTCTGGTCAAGGTGGCAAGCAGCCTCTTCAGGCGCTGGGGGGCAGGAGTACCGGAGGTTGGGCCGGGAGGCCGGCTTAGATTTGAGGTGTATCCGCAGGTGGTTCTTAAGGGCCGCCAGGTTGAAGAGCTGCTTGCAGCAGAAGTTGCAGCTGTAGACACCCGTCTGGTGGCTTTTCTTGTGGTTGATGAGGCTGCCGGCATGGCGGTAGGTCCGGCCACACTCCCCGCACTGGTAGGGCCGCGCTTGGTCTCCGTCCTTACTGCTGGCTTCCCAGGCCCCTTCTGAATCCGTCGTGGGTTGGGCCAAGCCACCCCCATCCTCTTTCTCCTCTTCCTCCTCCTCTGGGTAGAGGCAGCTGTGGTTCCTCAGCTCTTCCTCATCGGCGAAGTTTCCCCCGCACCTCACGCACAGCTCCCCATCTGGACTGCCCCGGTCCCCGCCCCCAGCCTTCGCCCCATCCTTCAAACTGCAGGGGGCGCCCTCTCCGAAGGCGGCCGCCGGCGGCTGGTAGATATCCAGCTTGGCCGAAGTATAAATGGAGTCCTCCTCCGAGACGCTGTGTTCCGAGCCCTCCGAGGGGGCTCTCCCAGCCCACCGGGCTTTCTCGTGGGCCTTCTGGTGGCTCAGCAGCTCGCTGGGCAGGCGGAAAGCCTTACAGCACAATGGGCACTTGTAGGGGCGGTACTCCGAGTGCAGCCGGGAGTGGTTCTTGAGCGCCATGAGGTTGGAGAACTCCTTGAAGCAGACGGCGCACTGGTAGACGCCCAGCGTGTGGCTCTGCTTGTGGTTAGTGAGGCTGCCCGCATGCTTGTAGGCCTTATCGCACTGGTTGCATTTATAGCGCCGCTCCTCTGCCGGCAGGCCGGGGGCCTCCTGGCCTTCCTCCGCTTTGCCAGGGAACTCCAGCTGGGAGAAATCAGCCGGCACCACCGATTCGGCAATGTATTTCTCCAGGTTGCTCAGCAACGTCCCGGCGCCGCCGCCCTCTAGCGCGGGGAAGACGTCGGCATCCGATGACGAGGAGTCCTGCCCTTGCTGGAAGTTGTTCTCCCCGTCCTCCTCTCCCTTCTGGCCGCGGCTGGCGTGGGCCGAATGGCGATGGCTGGCCAGCTGGGAGGCGACGCGGAAGCTGCGGCCGCAGTCCGGGCACCGGTGGCGCCTCTCCTCGGTGTGGATGCGGAGGTGATTCTTCAGGGCCATGGGGTTCGAGAACTCCTTGCCGCACAGCAGGCAGGTGAAGAGTCCCACCTCGTGGGTGCGCCGGTGGTTGACCAGGCTGCCGGCGTGGCGGTAGCTACGCTGACACTGCCCGCATTTGAACGGCCGCTCCTCCCGCTGCGGCTGGCTCGGCTCGCAGCCGGGCTCTTCCATCGCTCACATCGGACGGCGGGAGGGCACTGTCTCCGCCTGCTTCACGGGGCTGGGCCGGTGGCCCGGAGAGCTCCGTTTCCGGTGCAACGAGCCTGCATCCCCTCCTGCTGCTTCTTCCTCCTCCTCCGGCTCCTTACGGCATCCCAAGGCGGCAGCTGCAGGGACACAAGCAAGGGAAGGGGGGTTAAAATGCCGCCAAATGAGTGCCCATATCCAAGCCTCACGCCTGGCTGCTACCGGACCCATGGCTTCATCCTCTCCAGACCAGGGGAACTAAGCCCAAGGAGGCGCAAAAACAAAGACCAGACGGGGTTACCCTGGGCTACGCTGTTTGATAGCCTGGCGGGTGGAAGGATATTGGACAGCAAACGCCACACAGCAGAGCCACGGATAGAACCCAGGCGTCCTGGCACCCAGCCCCCACCCCGCTCTAACCTACTCAACCCCACTCCCCTCCCAGGGCTGGAGATAGAACCCAGGAGTCCTGTTCTAAATAAAACAGCATGTAAGGAAGCTGAAGACAAACATCTGATGTCTCATTGTGTCTGAGAAGGGAAAACGAAGCTGGCCTGCCTGCCAGAACACCAGTCACAGACAGCTCTGTCGGGGACGCAAAGGAACTAAGCTGTCCCCTCCGCTGACTAGCTCCAAGCTGAGCGCAGGTTACAAATGAAATGTGGTCAGCAGGCCTCCTTCCCCGGCTTCCTCGCTTGTGTCATGTTTTGGAGGAGTACTTGGTTTAAGAAAGGCCTGGGCTTGCGGGTCTGGATTGAGGGGCACTAGCGGAGCTGGGGGTCGGGGGAGCCCAGGGCTGGGATTGCAGGGGTCTGTGGAACGAGACTGAGGGGCACTGGCAGAACTGTGTGTGCCCAGGACAGGGAGCTACACCCCCTCACAGTCACGAACGCTCAGTTCTCGCGCAAAAGGAACCAGGATTCCAGTGCTCTAAGCCCAGCTCTGGGAGAGGAGCGGGGTCGAGTGGGTTAGAGTGCATGGGAGAGGTGGCTGGGAGTCAGGACTCCTGGGTTCCGTCACGGGCTCAGAGAGGGGACGGGACTCTAGTGCAGGGGGGTCTCAACCTTTCTCTCTCTGAGACCCCCCCCCACCCCCAACTTGCTATAAAAACTCCACAGCTCACCTGTGCCACAACTGGTTTGCTGCATATAAAAGCCAGGGCCAGTGTTAGGGAGTAGCAAGCAGGGCAATTGCCCGGGGCCCCACGCCACAGAGGGCCTCGTGAAGCAACGTTGCTCAGGCTTCAGCTTCAGCCCTGGGTGGCAGGGCTCGGGGTGGCGGGGCTTCGGCTTTCTGCCCTGGGACCCAGGGAGTTTAATACTGGCCCTGCTTAGTGGAGCCCCTGAAACCTGCACGTGGCCCCCCCAGGGGAACCCTGGTTGAGAACCGCGGCTCTAGTGGTTAGAGGAGGGTGGGTTCACCTGAGTTCTATACCCTGCTCTGCCAAAAAGACACAGAGTAAGTAAAAAGACACACATTTCCCTTCTCTGTGCCTCAGTTTCCCCATCGCTAAATGGGGAAAACAGATACCAACTCATGTTTAGTAAGGCTAACACCTGTAATAAGTGTCTTATCCTTGATTAGGGCAAGGATAACTTAAAGTACACTGGCTTAATTATAATAATTAGAAAAGTGCATGACTCCATTTTGCCACCTGTAACAAGGTAAATAAAGTGCTAAATATAACTGACACACCACAGAAAAAACACTCAATTAATTCTCACTTAATCTGAAACTTTTGCCCCTAAAAAATATCAACCAGGCATATTTCTGAGCACCATCAAGCCATTTCTGAGGCTCTGAACACCAGCAGCCGGCTGTAGCAGGCTCCACATTTTAAAGATCGACAAAACATCAGGGTGGGAAAACACAAACACACACACGCCACGGGCTGGGGCCCCCAATTGCCTCCAGCAAGGGTCAGCGCCACACACACAGATTTATGGGACAAGGCAAAATTGACAATGGATGTTCTCCGCCCCCACGAGCAAATATCATCGCTGGCTTGAGATGAAGCATAAGAAGTGGAAGCCCTGGAGAAGAATTTTTGGTGGCAGGACACGCAATCGGTTGGGGAACTTTAAGATTTGTGACTGGTGTAACTCATTTGCCTTCAATGGCCCAGAGATTGCTAAAGAAACAACAATCTCTCAGGGCGGGTGTGGGTGGGTGGCTGTTTTCCATTCAGTCGCTCTTTAAAATTGGGAGCCTTTTAAAAAACAGACTTTCAAAGTTTCTAGCCTCCAACGTGACTTGATTGTGCTCATAGTGAGACAGGTAAATTAGGCCACTCCACAACCTTGGTAGAGAAAAAGACAGTGAGAGGTGCTTTTGGGGACAATACATCTCACTCAGTGCTGAGATGTGGCTGCCTCTGGGGTGGGCTAGCAGGGGAACAGCTGCACAGCGATGCAGCACAGGGATGATTCGCCTGGCACGGAGATGCTGCCACCTCTAGGGAGGGTCAGCTGGGTAACAGCCACACAGCGATGCTGCCTGGGGATTACTCATCCTGCATTGCAATGCAGCTGCTTCTAGGACGGGACACAGCATACAGGACACACAGCCATTCCACACAATTTTTAGCTAAGGAAGGGCGAGAAACAATTGCATCCAATTTAAAACTGCAGGGAGGGAGGGAGGATGGAATTAGCAAGACTTCTGGGTTCTAACCCCAGCTCTGGGAGGAGAGTGGGGTCTAGTGGATTGGAACAGGGGGTGAGGCTGGGAGCCAGGACCCCTGGGTTCCCAGCTCTGATCCCCAGGGCTGCAAAGGGAGTGTGTAAGTCCCCGACCCTGTGTTTACCCATTCATAAAACGAGAATAACCATCTCCACCCACTTCATAAACACAACAGGAAAAAGCGTTTTAAAAGACTACATGTGACTTCAGGATAAAGATGGGGCCCTAACTAACCCCAGTACAACCCAGCATCCCAGCCTCTTACCTCCAGGGTCCAATAGAGCATCCCAGAGGTGACACACAGGCCAAGAGCAGGAGAGTTGAAGCAGTTTCCAGGCAGGGAGTCACAACCCAAGTGACAGCCAGACGTGGAGGCAAACACAGGATCTTCAGGGTACAAGAGAGAGAGGAAATTTGTAGGGACGAGCCCCAAAAATACAGGGCTCCCCGGGGTGCCTTATCCCGCAGGGGAGGGACCGGCACAGACTTTTGGTGGAGTTCAGTCTTCAATTCCGGATCCTGGCAGGGTCCAGATACAGGTCGGAAGGGGGGCTCCGAGCCCCAAAAGTCTGGGTCCAGACAGCGACTGGAGAGAGGCGCTCACGGCTGAGGGAACTGAGCCCCAGTTCGCAGGGTGCAAGGCTGCTGTACCCCGAGTGGCTGGCTACAGAAGCTCACAGGGGCTTGAGCCCCGAGGGTCTGGATCCAGGGGCGTCCGAGAGGCTGGCGACACATCCCCGGGGTGTGAACCCCAAGCTGCTGGAGACCGGAGCGCCCAGGGGCTTGTGATGCTGGAGGCAGGAGAGCCCAGGCGGGGCGAACCCCCAGTCCTCTGGTGGCGGGAGAGCCCAGGCGGGGCGAACCCCCAGTCCTCTGGTGGCGGGAGAGCCCAGGCGGGGCGAACCCCCAGTCCTCTGGTGGCGGGAGAGCCCAGGCGGGGCGAACCCCCAGTCCTCTGGTGGCGGGAGAGCCCAGGCGGGGTGGGGGCTCCCCGATCCACCGCCTCCTGCCGCCCCCTGGAAGAGACGAGACACCTGCCCACTGGGGGGCTGATTTCCCTGCTGGGGGGGGGGGGTCTCCAGACGGGCCAGACCATTCAACCACCCCCCCGTGGGGGTGGAAATCTCGCCTCCCAGCCCGTGGGGGTGGCTCTGGTCCGTCCCCCGTGGAGAGCAGGGCCCTGCCCCTGTAGCCCCCCTCTCTGCCCTGCTGCTGGGGGGCGGGGGGCGCCTGCAAACCCCCCCCCCGCCAGGCCCTGCTGCCCCCTCAGCCAGGGGGCCGGGGCTGGAAGAGTCACCCAGCCTAGGGCACAACAAATACTTCCTTTTGTTGCTAGGAAACAGGAAATGTGCAGCTTGCAAAGCCTTCCCGGGAAGCCCGCCCCCCCCAGCCCCCCGGCCGTGGGGCTGCACTTCCGGGGGGTGTCACCGTTAAAGGGGTCCCCCCCCACACGCGCCTCCTGGGGGCCAAGTTACACCCCGCCCCCCCCCTCCATTCCGTGCCAAATCCCTGCAACTTCCCTAGGGGAGGGGGGGGAGGGGTGACCCTGTTTTTAAAGGGACAGTCCCTGTTTTGGGGACTTTTGTTTTGGGGACTTTTTCTTAAGTAGGCGCCTGTCCCCCCCCGTCCCGGTTTTTCACAGCTGCTATTTGGTCACCCTGGGGGCGGGGTCCACAGAGAAAAACTGACCCCCCCCCATCAACATCTTTATGTTACAGTCAAATCCTTCCCCTTCAATATGTCAGGACTCCTGGGTTCTCTCCCTGGCTCTGCGAGGGGAGTGGGGGCTAGAGGGGTGGCTGGGAGCCAGGACTCCTGGGTTCTCTGGGGGAGGCGAGGGGAGTCAGGACTCCTGGGTTCTCTGGGGGAGGGGGCGGGAGCTGGGAGCCAGGACTCCTGGGTTCTCTCCCTGGCTCTGCGAGGGGAGTGGGGGCTAGAGGGGTGGCTGGGAGCCAGGACTCCTGGGTTCTCTGGGGGAGGCGAGGGGAGTCAGGACTCCTGGGTTCTCTGGGGGAGGGGGCGGGAGCTGGGAGCCAGGACTCCTGGGTTCTCTCCCTGGCTCTGGGAGGGGAGTGGGGGCTAGTGGGGGGGCTGGGAGCCAGGACTCCTGGGTTCTCTGGGGGAGGGGAGGGGAGTCAGAACTCCTGGGTTCTCTGGGGGAGGGGGCGGGAGCTGGGAGCCAGGACTCCTGGGTTCTCTCCTGGCTCTGGGAGGGGAGTGGGGGCTAGTGGGGGGGCTGGGAGCCAGGACTCCTGGGTTCTCTGGGGGAGGGGAGGGGAGTCAGAACTCCTGGGTTCTCTGGGGGAGGGGGCGGGAGCTGGGAGCCAGGACTCCTGGGTTCTCTCCCTGGCTCTGGGAGGGGAGTGGGGGCTAGTGGGGGGGCTGGGAGCCAGGACTCCTGGGTTCTCTGGGGGAGGGGAGGGGAGTCAGGACTCCTGGACTCTCTCTCCCACTCCCTCCCTGCGCAGCATTCCCTTCAGCCCCCTTCACTCCCCCCCGCCACCACTCCTTTCTGGGGCGGGGGGTGCCCCCGCCCCGATAAAATAGTTTGTACCGCCCCCCTTCCCATTGGATAATCTGCATGCCACACTTCCGGTTATGGCCACACCCCCTTCCACCGTGCTGTGCCAGGGCACGCCACACTTCCTGCGGTGCCACCCCCAACCTCTTCCCGCCCCCCAACAGCCCACCGGGGAGCAAGGTTCCTACCTTTGCCATCAACCCCCCTCCTCCACCCCACCCCCCCAGGCTCTGGGGTGTAGCAACCCCCGCCAGCCTGGCGACAATACACCCCCCAGGGGCTGGAGGCCTGCTGGGCTATGGAGGGGGGGGGGGGGTTAATATCCCTTTAAGCGGCTCCTTTACTTTGCATTTCTCCCCCCCTCCCCCCACTGTTGTCTTCCCCTCCCTCAGGGTCCTAGGGGCTGACTCATTCCGCTCCAGCAGGGAGTGGGGAGCAGCAGCAAAGGCGAGGCAGACGCCAGGTAAGGCAGAGATTAACCCATTGCAAGCCCTCCTAAGGGGTGCATGCACGCCAGCTCTGGGGAGGGGGCAAATCTCCTTTGCAAACTGCCCCCCCCACCCCACTCCACCCCACCCCACCCTACCCTCCTTCCAGGGGGAGAGCCTCTTCCCCCGATGCGAGCCCCAGCCATTTTGCAACCCAGCCTTGCTCCTCGCCAGCCCGGCTGCAAAGCAGCCCCGGTAGCCAGCCAGGCGCAGCTCGCAGGGCCCCCGGGGCGGCCTGTCCGCCTCGGGTGCACGCTGGTGCAGCCTCCCTGCAAACCCTGCTCCGGCCGGCGGGGTGGCGCCTCCTCCCGTGGTCCTAGAGAGAGCCATTTTGCAGGCCGCCCGAGCCAGCGCCCTGCCGCCAGCCCTCTCCGCCTCTGCACGACTTTCTTGTGCAAAATCTCTATCCTTCAGTGCGGAGAAGGAGACAATAAACACCTCCCCCCCTTTTGGGGGGCATACTCTTTTCCAGCATCTCTCTCCTTTGCATTGCCTCCTTGGGGCGGCGTCTCCTCCCTTGGTCCTAAAACCAGCCATTTTGCAAGCGCGGAGCCATGCAATGATTGCTTTGGAAGGGAGCCCTTCCCTTTGCAACAGGCCTCGCCTTGCAAATCTCTCTTCTACCCCCCACCACCACACACACACACACACCGTCCCGAGCCACGTTGCTTGGCTTGTTGCAACCTATGCAACTCGAGCCCCGCTCGGTATTTGTCTGCAGGCTCGAATGCACAAAGAGAGGCGAGTTCCCCTTGGCAATCCCGTCCTACCTCCTAGCCCCCTGTGGGTTGCATTTCCCACCTTCCCCTGGTCCTAGCTACAGCCATTTTGCTTTGCAGTTGAACCGGGCAAACCCACGCAGAAACGCGGCCCATCTCTGTCTCCTTGCGCTGTTCTTTCCCTGTCTCTGCAGGATGACCCCCCCCCACCCCCTTTGCACCGGTCTCGCCTGCCCCGGTCCTAAAGACAGTCATTTTGCAATTGCTTTTTGCCTCCCGGCAGGTCCCAATTCCAAGCAAGAAATAATGCACAAAATTCCCCGGAGGCAGAGGGGAGGCTACTCCCTAGAATGGCAAATACCTGCAAACTGTTGCTCTCCGGAACTGCCCTAGGTTTCTGGCCCCCTAGCCCTTGCAATTCCTGGTCCTAAAGGGACCCGGTTAACTTTGCTTCTCGGTGCAACTAAACAATCCATGCCCCGGACCCCATGTTTGCTGCATGTCTGCCTGCTCATTGTAACAAAAAAAAAAGGAGTACTTGTGGCACCTTAGAGACTAACCAATTTATTTGAGCATGAGCTTTCGTGAGCTACAGCTCACTTCATCGGATGAACTGATGAAGTGAGCTGTAGCTCACGAAAGCTCATGCTCAAATAAATTGGTTAGTCTCTAAGGTGCCACAAGTCCTCCTTTTCTTTTTGCGAATACAGACTAACACGGCTGTTCCTCTGAAACCTGTCATTGTAACAAAGACATCTGTGCTCCCGACCCCCTGTTTGCTCCTCGTGCTCAGGGCTACCAAAGCAAAGGGGCTCTGGTGTCTGCGTTTCCTTTGCATTCTCAATATGTTGATTTTTCAGTAAGTCTTGGAGCCCTGGGAAAGTGCCAGAAGACTGCTAATATAGTGCCAATTTTTTAAAAGGGTAACCAGGATGATCCAGAGACTCCTGACATTACCCTGGGCGAGATAGTGACTGGATTAATAAAGAATTAAAGGAGTGTAATATAATTAATCACCAGGGATTTACGGAAAATAGAACCTGTCAAAGTAACTTTGATTTTTTTTTTTATAAGTTTACAAGTTTGGTTGATAAAGGTAATGGAGTTGATGTAATATCCTTAGACTTCTGTAAGGCATTTGACATAGTACCATACGACGTTTGATTCAAAAAACTAGAATGCTATAAAATGTACACGGCCCATTAAGCGGATTAAAAACTGGCTAACTGATAGGTCTCCAAATGTAATTGTAAACGGGGAATCATCATCGAGCGGTTGTGTTCCCAATATTGGTCTCGCAGGGGTCGGTTCTTGGCCCTATGCTACTTAACATTTTTATCGACGACCCCGGAAGAAAACATATAATCATCACTGATCAAGTTTGCAGCTGGCGCCAAAATTAGAGGAGTGGTAGATCATGAAGAGGCCCCGTCACTGCTACAGAGCGATCTGGCTCGCTTGCTAAGCCAGGCTCAAGCAAACCATGCGTGTTTTGATACGGTTCAATGTAAATGGATCCATCTAGGAACAGAGAACGCAGACGTTACTTACAGAGTGGGGGATTCTAGGGAAGCAGTGACTCAAAAAATTTTGCGGTCACGTTCAGTGGAACAGGAGCTCCCAACGTGACGCTGTAGCCAAGAGAACAGGAGGACTCGTGGCACCTTAGAGACTGACAAATTTATTTGAGCATAAGCTTTCGTGGGCTGCAGCTGATGAAGTGAGCTGTAGCTCACGAAAGCTCATGCTCAAATAAATTTGTCAGTCTCTAAGGTGCCACGAGTCCTTCTGTTCTTTTTGCGGATACAGACTAACATGGCTGCTACTCTGAAACCTGTAGCCACGAGAGTTAATGCAATCCTGGGATGCATAGACAAGGGAATCTCAACTAGTCTACAAGTATCTACATGGTGAACAAATATTTAATAACAGGCTCTTCAGTCTAGGAGAGGGAGGTCTCATGTGATCCAATGGCTGGAAGCTGAAGACAAATTCAGACTGGAAAGAAGTTGGGACATGTTTAACTGAGAGGGTAATTAGCCATTGGAACAATTTAATACGGGTCATGGTGGATTCTCCGTCACTGCCAGTTTTTAAAGTAAGATGGATGGATGGATGAATTATCTGGGGGATGTTCTCTGGCCTGTGTTATCCAGAAGGACAGACTAGATGATCACAATGGTTCCTTCTGGCTTGGGAATCTAGTTATCAGACCTATTTCCTAGTTTAGTCTACAGGAAAGGCTGAGTCCATTGATATGAGCAGGAAATAGCAGGGCTGGCTGATGAGAGGCAAAAAGCCACAAAGAGGAAATAGACCCGAGCTCTTAATTTTAATGTCCCTGAGCCCTTTGGGGAACTGATTTGTGCCCAGGAAACCTTGGTGCTTTATCTTTAGGACAGAGCGTCTTTAAAACTCAGTTTAACTGCAGAGGACATCAGTTAAAGGATCCAGGATGCTGAGAGGAGACTCCTCTGTCTGTTACTGTACCCTGTCAATGTGTGCACCGTCTGCTGGTTGGCTAAATCTGGAAATATTGTGGGTCCTACAAAACTAATGAGACCTTTTGTGGCCTCATTACAGTTCTTGACCGAAAAAGAAAAGGCAAATAGATGACCTTGAAAAACAGATCTATGGTGTTTCTTGGATTTTAAGGCTATCGCTCCTTGGAGTGGCAAAACAAATGTCTGGCTCTCCATTTGAACACATGCCCTAGTTCAGCACCCACAAGTGCCTCACAATAGACTCGCAGCCACTGGAGTGGTTAAATACCTGGTCAGCCCCCTGTGTAACCATGTCCCCTTTGTCTGCAGCGTTGGAGTGCTCCCAATTGACCTGTTCGTGTGAGCAGTGGGATGATAAACTGTTGACCTATTCTACATGCAGGTGCTCATGGGATTATAAGGATCTGAACCTACGTTCTGTGCAGACCAATGGTAGAATTATACTTTCCTGGTTTAGTATCTTCCTATTTTAGATACTTATCTGGCTCCCATTTCTGTAGTATATCAGCACCTCAGTCTTGTAGATATTTATGCTCACAACTCCGCTGGGACATAGGAACTGCTATTAACCTCATTTTACAAATGGGAAAACTGAGGCCCAGAGAGAACAAGTGACGTAGCCACGGTCACACAAGGCATCTGTGGCAGAGCAGGGTCTTGAATCCAGATCTCCTGAGCCTTCAGGTAGTGTCCTAATGGCTGGTCCTTCCTTCCCGTCCTGTATGGCTCCACTGGTGGAAGCGGTGGGATTATATTTTGCTGGTTTAGTCTACAGGCAGCCCTAGAGCAGCTAGAGGTGGGATTATACCTTTTTAGTTTAGTCTATAGGCAGCCCAATAGCTGAACTCCTAGTAAGAGCAGGATTATACAGTACTAGTTGAGTCTATATGCAGCCCAGTGGACACACTGGTGTGAGCAGTGGGATTTTTTCCCTAATGCACATCCCAGCCATCGTACTGTATCCCAAGGGGGAGGAGGGGTTGATCTCGCTATGGACCCCTCCTTGTAACCCTCCCCTGCCTTCTTTTTCAGAGAGCAGCCCCCCGTCCCTCCCCCGCAAAGATGGAGGAGCCCGAAGTGAGCATTGTGGTGAAGCTGGAGGGCGACTCGGAGGAAGAGGAGGAGAAAGAAGAGCCTGCCAGCTATGCCAAGTGCGGCCGGCGCTACAAGTGCCTGGCGTGCAGCAAGACCTTCCCCAGCGTGCCACGGGTCCTCCGCCACGCCAAGTGCCACGCTGGGGGGGCCCCGCCACGGCCAAGCACACCTGCCCCAGCTGCGCCAAGGAGTTCCCCGACCGCTCGCAGCTGCACAAACACCAGCTGAGCCACTCGGCCGAGCGCCCCTTCCAGTGCCCGCAGTGCTCCAAGGCCTACAAGACGGCGCCGGAGCTGCGTAGCCATGGGCGTAGCCACACGGGCGAGAAGCCCTTCATCTGCCAGGAGTGCGGCAAGGCCTTCATGCAGCCAGTGTGCCTGCGAGTCCACATGGCCCGGCACACCGGCGACCTGCCCTTCCGCTGCTCCCACTGCGCCAAGGGCTACGGCACGCTCTCCAAGCTGAAGATCCACCAGCGGGCCCACACGGGGGAGAAGCCCTACACCTGCGGCGAGTGTGGCAAAGCCTTCGCCGACCCCTCGGTCTTCCGCAAGCACCGGCGTATCCACGCCGGCCTGCGCCCCTACCAGTGCGGCGCCTGCCAGAAGACCTACGCCGAGCTGAAGGACCTGAAGAACCACGAGCGTAGCCACACCGGGGAGAAGCCCTTCCTCTGCTCCGACTGCGGCAAAGCCTTCTCCCGCTCCTCCTCGCTCACCTGCCACCAGCGCATCCACGCGGAGCAGAAACCCTACCGCTGCGGCCAGTGCGGCAAAGGCTTCACCCAGCTCTCGTCCTACCAGAGCCACCAGCGCACCCACTCCGGGGAGAAGCCGTTCCTCTGCCCGCAGTGCGGCCGCATGTTCTCGGATCCCTCCAGCTTCCGGCGCCACCAGCGGGCCCACCAGGGCGTCAAGCCCTACCAGTGCGACAAGTGCAGCAAGGCCTTCCGCCAGCCGGCCGACCTGGCCATGCACCAGCGGATCCACACCGGCGAGCGCCCCTACAAGTGCCTGCAGTGCGACAAGACCTTCGTGGCCTCCTGGGATCTCAAGCGGCACCAGCTGGTGCATTCGGGCGAGCGGCCCTTCCAGTGCGGGGAGTGCGGGAAGAGCTTCGCCGAGCGGGCCAGCCTCACCAAGCACCACCGGGTACACTCGGGCGAGCGGCCCTTCAAGTGCGGCCGCTGCGGCAAGACCTTCGTGGTCTCCTCCAGCCTCCGCAAGCACGAGCGGACCCACGGCGAGCGGCGGGGCGGCGGCGGGGAGGAGGAGGAGGCGGCGGAGGAAGACGCGGGGGCCGCGGCCCGCCACGTCTGCCGGCTCTGCGGGGCCGCCTTCGGCGAGGCGGCGGGGCTGCGGCACCACCAGCGGGGGGAGCACCCGGAGGCGGCCCCCGAGGCGCCCACCTGCGCCGAGTGCGGGGAGGCCTTCGCCTCGCCCTACGACCTGCGCAAGCACGAGCGGCTCCACCCCGGCCTGCGCCCCTTCCCCTGCCCCGAGTGCGGCAAGGGCTTCTCCGACCGCGCCGGCCTGCGCAAACATGAGCGCATCCACTCCGGGGTGCGGCCCCACGCCTGCCCCCGCTGCGGCAAGGCCTTCCTCGGCGCCTCCGACCTCCGCAAGCACCTGCGTACCCACGGCCCCGCCCCCGGCCCACCCCTCGACGAGGCCGCCCCCCCCCCCAATGGGCCTGGCGGCTGCCTGCCAGACGGACTGCGCCAGTCCTCCTGAGCCCCTCCCCCCTTGCGGGGGCGGGGTGGCTCTGTGTGCCGCTGGGGCCCCTCCCCGCTCTGGGGGGCGTGGGCTCCTTGGTAAACCCCCCACAG